GGGGTGTCTACAGAAGGTCCAGTTGTGATGGACACGGTTCGCCACTGGCATACAGTAAGGTCAGAGGTCAGCTACACAGACGAGTGCATACAGATTGTAATTTCTCACTTTATATCATGCATCGGGCGGTGGTGGCGAATTGGGCACCACCGCCTAGGATGGGTCAAATGCAGAATGTACATTTCCCCTCTATGGGACAATTAAGGGTATATAAAATAAAAATAAATTCATGCATCCACCTGTATTGCTTGCATGGTAAGGGGGCCCTATTATGGTAATTTTCAGATTAATATTTGTATTTTGTGCCTCTACTGTGACAATTTTCCATGCTTAAGTGTTCAAAAAGCTCTTTATTCTTCTCATGTGCTGCAGCACCTCTTTTCACCCTCAGTCTAAAACCAGAGCCCAGTCTGCTCTGATTGGTTAGCTAGCCGGCTCTGTTATGATTGGTCAACGTCTTAGAGATGTTCTGCCTCTTAACATATCATGTATCAATAGAAGTGCAAGTGTTACATAGTGATGTCACTTTGTTACAGAAGTTAATAAAGCAGACTAGGAGAGTGAGTGTTGGAGAAACTGTTACAAACTCAGAATCTCAGGGAATAGGACCCAATTGCACAACCCAGGAGACAGAGGTAAAGTATTTGTAAGATACTTTATTTTCAATAGATGAACAAAAATAATTACTATCAAATCTCTGGATGAGATCACAAAAAGAGAACAAAAGAAAATCGCTCACGTAGTGAGGAACAAAATATCTTGGTGCTAGTGGATCGCCGGAGCTGTTAGATTAACATTAACATGCTTATTGTAGTTGTAAGTGCACTGCCTTGCGGCCTGTAGCACCATCCTTGATGGAGCATATGTGTGGGTGGTTTTATATCATGCACATTGATGTTGTTGGTTTATAATATTTTTCCTTTCATACATGAATTAAGTATACTTTAATTAATAGATGTTTGTTATTTCCAAGTAATGTTTATTTATATTTTACTGGTTTTCATTATCTGAGCTAACCATCTGTGCACATACCACCCCTTTTGAAGGTACAGTCCATTGTTGGGCCTATAAAGGGTGGCATTTTAGGCTCATTGAGAAAAAGGGATAGTGCTGGAGACAGTCATATGGGGAAATTGATGTTGTTTATCATGTACCAACGATGAATACATGTCCACACCGGCCGGGTTGTATCAGGACGTTCTGCCTCTGCCTCCTTACTTGGCCGGGCCGCTCAATTGTCAGCTTCACAAGATATTAATAACACGATTTGTTAATTTATCAAAACGATTTTTAAATGTACTTTCTTCTAACTGAATATTGGTCATAATTACCATTGAAATAAAAAACAAAACCTACACAAATGTGATTAACAAACTACTAAAAAGTCCACAACAGCATTTCAAAGCACCTTCAGCTGAATGTTCAATACCTGCACCCAAATGAACCCAAACGTTTTCAGCATGAATAGATGAATCCAACTAAGGTGTTCTCTGCAATTCCTCAATCACCATTTGAGCTCCCGTCCTCTGCCGGCGGCCTCGGCTGTCAGCATGGTGCCACGGCAGCTGGCACCAAATCGCTGATTTATCGAAGTGAGAGGGAAACTATGAAGCTTACTTTGTGACAGCTCTGAAGCTTTAAAATGTAAGATGTCATTGAACTGATGAATGGAGAGAGGAAAAGCTGAGCCTGCCCGCTGGCGTCATATGTCACTGTCCAAAGTGATGAGAGACTCTGCCTGCTGCCCTGCTACACTCACCCAAAGGCTCCGCTGGGGAACTTTCATTACTGAGGTTGGAAGAATCAGGAATCACATTTTGGAGTGGACGCCTATGGGTACTGCATATTAGAATGAGTTCAACTTCATCACGGTTGGGACAAATGTTTGCTTCCAGCTTATACAAGACCTACACTTCAACTGCACATGACAGAATAAATAAGCTTTGGTCTCTTGCCATTACTCTTCGTTGGCAAGCACTTCAAACAGAGGCATGAACTTGAAGTGGTGATAATATGATAGAATAATGGTATGATAGAAGGTTAACGTTATGTATCGTGTCACACAACGCATAGCCAGGATGGTCACAAATGAAAGTGAGTAGAGTACTTTTAACATAAAGACTTTAATTTAACATTCACTAGGCCAGGCAAGGCAAACAGAACCAAACAGACGTTGTTCTTGATACAACATATTTGAATCTGACAAAGATTTAACAAAGAACAGGACTAATGCGAGGATAAAGTACAGGTGTACTAAGGCTCAGGTTGTTTCAGGGCAATTTACATATTTCTGTAGGCCAACCCGGAAATTAGCATTGCAATGGGTCTCTCCACAAAAAGCAATGGGATTTCTCCATTGGATTACGGTATATTACAGAAAATAAGCCTTGTGGCCATCAACCGTTTATGATCCTTATCACATGTTTTTCAGCAGGTTAATCTCCACCTATTAACACCACTTTGTGATATTTGAAGATTAAAAACTAACAAAATACTATAATCAAACTGGCTGTTCATAACCACCCTTAAGCTAAAGGTGGACTTGATTTATTAGCTTATTTATTGGCAACGAACGTTAATTTAACAAAAAGAAGCTCCAGAGATTCACGAGTAGGGTATTTACTGAGAAAATAAGAACATATTTTATATACAGCCTTTAACCACAAACGCGTTTAAAAACCCATTTACTTCAAGACACGGCAACTGAAAGTGTCAAAATGCAAAGTTATTTCCAGGTTTTAGGATTCATTGCTCCAACACTTTATAAGGCCAGGACATACTAAAAAAAGGCGAGAAAAAACACAAAACAGGAATTAAAAACAGACACGACACAGGGACAGTAGTTTTACAAAATAAAAAACAAAAACCAAGATCATGACACATCCATGTGATTCAAATAAGAAGCAGTCTGTTATATCATGCATGTGTATGGCACACTAGCTGTACATGCTCTGAAGAAACTGATAAACTGTCATTTGTATATTGTAAAACACACCTCCTGGCATAGATAGATGTTCCCTTGCGTAGCTGACAAATAAATGCTGCAGCGGTGTGACTAATGTATATCATTTTATCTTGGTAAGTGTCAGATTTGCTGTGATAAAAGGTACCACAAGTAGGAACATTAGCATAGAGCTCAACTGGGGCCTCCGACTCTCCGCGCTGCGAGGAAACAACAATGGGGAGCTGTGTCTACAACATCAATCAAGACAGTGTTAGGAAATGCACCCAGGTTATTAATTGTTCACCCAGTGGCAGCAGAAGATGTCATTAATACACTGAATTTGAGCCACTGGCTACATACTAAACACCTTAACGGCAGCTGTGTTATATATCATTCTTTGCATTCATGTATGCTCATTCCAAAGGACATTGAATTTGATTGAGTGCTGAAGAAACAGTCAAACATTCAACAGCAGGTTAAACTTGGATGACAAGGGCAAACACACTACAAAGCCCCAAAACAGGCTGCACTTTCCAAAATGATGTAAAAATATTAGGGCTGTCAAGTTAACGCGTTAATAACGCGTTAATAACGCGTTAATAACGCGTTAACGCAAAAAAAATTAACGCCACTAATTATTTTAACGTGATTAATGCATGTGTATTTTTTTTCCTCGGCCGCCCCGTAGTTTCAGAGCGCATCGAGTTTAAAATACCATCTACAAGCTGATGCTGAAGCCCCGCTCCTGCCGCCCGCTTGTGGCAGACCACACTTCCACGCTCACCGGCAGGCACCGACTGGCCATCTGGAGGACCGGGAGGGTGTGTGTATGTGTGGCCCGAGCGAGAGAGAGACCTTACATGCATTGTTGTTGTTAGCATCTGGTGCTAGCTAGCTGCGCTAACGGATATAAGGAGCTGTTTAAATGAAAACAGAGGAGCGACATTTCGCCACAACTGCGCCGAGCACTTGACTTTATGCAGGAAGCCAGACAGTGGGACATTGTACGAAAAGTCAGCACACTCAGCACGGATAGTGCGCAACATGATTGCAGCGTCCAGGCAGCTCCCGTTCGAGCATATGCCTTGAGTTGCACATAGCTCCAACGATCCATCTCACACACACACACACACACACACACACACACACACACACACACACACACACACATCCATTTGTATTGTATTATTGTATGAGAGAGGTTCCAGGTTGAATTGAGGCGAATATTTGTAATGTTCAGAGGTTGTTGTGTTTAATATTCATGAGAATATTTGTCATTGTTCAAATGATAATAAACATTAGCATAAAGCATATTTGTCCACTCATATGTTGATAAGAGTATTAAAAACTTGAAAAATATTCCTCTAAGGTACATTTAGAACAGATAAAAAATGTGCGATTAATTTGCGATTAATCGCGATTAAATATTTTAATCGACTGACAGCCCTAAAAAATATACGAACAGAAATGTGCCTAGACACATGCAAATGAGAAAAAAAACATCTTCACCAACTTCACCATGGTCCCAGCTGTGCCCAGCACTTTTTAGTGTCCCAGTTTGTTGTTTGCAGCGTTTCGGTAAAGCAGCGCTTTTAGTAATAGCTGTGAATGTTTTAAAAATGTCTTATATTTGCAGCATTTTTGCCTCGTTTGCCTCTGTCAGCCACCTTTTAAAACCCACTGGATTACACCAAATATTTTGATGATGAAGCAAAAAGTGGCCTCATAAATGTCATCTCTATTTCACTTCTAGTGTATCATTCCTGTTATGTGCATGGTCTTAAACCCAAAGCTCTAATTTGTAAGGGAATAAAGATGCCTATATCTGTGACAATATGGTAGCTTAAATTGCCAGTTGGTAATGATGATAGCATTTCAGCTCGATGTATCCTGACGATGCTTTACAGCCTCCTCCCTGGAATTATCCAGCCATGTTTCAAGCTCCCTCGTCACTGTTACGACTTTTAAATCAGCCCTTCTAATTACTAGCCGGGCTGATGTGTAAAAGTGCATTCATCTTGTTAACGAGACTGACTTTTTGTGTTTTTCTCTGCAGTTGTACAGCTCGGTGGACTTTGGAAGAAAGTGGCAGCTCATTCACGAACGTGTCACGCCGAGCCGATTCTACTGGTGAGTCATCCATTTTTTTAAATGTCCACTCCTCTCCTCCAAAGTTTAGTTTACCCAGGAATGCAGAAATTGTTACTCCACGCGACTGAGCAAAGGGATATTGATGGCTTGGGACGAGGTGTGTGAATGACTGGTGATGCTGCTGGAATTCTGTATATCATCTACCCCTTGATACAATCAGGCAGAGATGAATCTCCTTCAGAACACACTTTGCATTCAGCATTCCACTTCATTTCTCAAACGCGCCCGGCTCGTAGTGGGCACATTGTATATAAATATAAGCCATAGAATAAAAAGGGGGTGGTTTTATACGCATGCAGAAACAGAAGGTTACATACAGTATGAGGAGCTATGACTCACAATGGATCTGGGACGTCCCTGTCGCTTCATATCCAGTCCCGTCTACTGCTCACTCCCCCTGCAGTGTACCTACTAAGTCTGAAAGTGCACACTCATCACAAACTAAGGCCTGGATCTATTCCAGCTCACTGCCCTCACCCCCTCTGTGAGGTGACTGGGGTGTGCGTAAGATTGCTGGTTGCTATATCCACTCTAACTTGCATAAATCTTAGTTTTTTCCGTGCCATTGTGGTATAATCCTAAAGAATGTGCACAATCCATCGCTTGCTCCGCCCTTCACCGCCAAAGCCCCTTCAAGGACATTTAAACACTGAATGGGTCACTAGCAATGGCCAGGCAGGCCTCCAGTTGGCCGCATTTGGACAATGGCTTCATCCGCCTCCAAGGGATATGAAATATTGCCAGAATTGGAAAGCCATGTCTACCCAGTCTAATCCTCACGCAGTGAAATGAGCAAGAAAGCAAGATTATACCCAGAGATATACTTAAAGACAGAGAGTGGGCTGACCCTGCACAACCCAGTCGATGATAAGAAGACTATTTATTTGTAGTGTTGCATTGTGCTGGAATGGAACTTGTCTACAGTTTGTGGATGTGCTGGCAATAATGTGGCATTGAGAATATGAAGGAAGAATCCCTGTGCTGTTGGGTTAGTATTGCTGCTGTAGGCTACTGTGGCCGACAGGGGCTAACACGTTATAATGGCTCTAGACACAACGCGCTGCAGTTTCAAAAAATGATGTAATTAAAAAAAACCACAACTGTTATCGTACACATGCAAATGAAGAAACAGCTTCACCAATTTGACAACACATGCCATGGGTTTCGACATGGGTTTGGAAACAATTGAACAACTTGGAGAAACATGCAACCACAAAAACCTGCAAATATTGTGAAGTTGGCCAACTGTTTCAAAATTGTAAGTGTTTTGTCGGTATATTTGAAATGACTTTGTTTGCTATTTTTGCTCATTAGCTCACAGTACTCACTCATAAGGAATCATGCAATCACATTGTTAAAATAAACCAATACAAATTACATTTAAGGTAAGTTTCCAGTGACAGTTGGCCAACTTTATAAACCCCGACCGTCAACAAGCCCTCTCAGGCACCGTCAGGCAGTCCAAAAAAGCTGCGAGGGGCTGAATACATGAAGGAAACACTTTGACCCACGCAAACAAATCCAGTCCATCACTTACATTCATTTGAGCGTTTATTCCAAACACAGGGGAAAAAAACAATCAGAACCAGTAGTGGAAGAGAGATTGTGATGGATTTTGTGGTGGAAAATGGGATGAAATTGCACTTATATATTGCGATAGAAGAATTGTGCAGAGACTTTGGTCAACAGGGAGTTTCACTTCCAGACTCACTACACTGAAAAAACTGAGACATTGACTGAATTATGTATTATGCCTACAGATTTCACATAACTGTATTAGGTTAGTTGAAAGCAAAAATATTACGTTTAAATACAAAATAATAGGTTCAACTTAATATTATTACTTTCAACTAACCTAATACAGTTATGTGCAATCTGTTGACATAATACATTTAAATAAAGTCAATGTTTTAGTTTTTGTTAGTGTAGCCTACTTCTCTCTGAACCCAAGTGAGTGGGCGAATGCAGCCAGGTTAAACTACAACTTACTCCAACCTACCCCTAAATCTAGTGCAAGCCCCCCACCAATAATATGTAAAAAAAAAAAGCACCACATAATAAATGAAAAACACATATGGCTCCCACAGTTAGGGTTAGCCTCTGCAAGACCTTGGTCCCTTTTTTCTGTTCGCACCTCTGCACTGACAACTTTTTGGTATTTTTTTCTTTCTTTTATATCTTTACATCACTTTCTAGTTGATATCGTTACGGTGATGTATTCTTCCACGGTGTCATTCTCTCCAAGGTCTGTTTCCGGCCTTGACAAAGAGCCAGATCTGGTCCACATGGAGGCTCATACGCCGGATGGAAGTGAGTAACTCCCACACACACATTCAGATCAAAGGCGAGTATTGAACAGGTCTCGATAGGAATACATTCCTATTGGATAAAAGCAGTAATCCCCAGGGAAACAGTACAGGCTTTCCCTGCCAATGAACCCACTGCTTAATGATTAATATGGCTTTTATTTCCCCTTCCCTTTCACTCGCTGAATGTCAGCTCCATAACTCTGAATGGCAGTACCACCAAGGTCCTCCATAGGATACAGAGGTGAAACTGTTAATGCCAGCCTGTGTGGCGTGGTAGCTCTAATCAAAGATATTCACATGATTTGTTTCTCATATAACCATTGTGTGATTTGCAGGCAGAGATGCTGCAATCTTCACATGATCAAAATACATCTGGCGCTACAAAGAGAGGCAGAGAAAATGTCAAACATAATGTGGAGTACAACACAACAACACATTATTAGCTTAGAAAATTATTATTATTATTATTGACGAAAAACGGCTACCATTCAAAGCGCTCTCCAAACAGCTCAATATATGAATATGTACTACAGATGATGTATATATGCTCTTGGTATGTCTTCCCATGGGACAGATGTGCAGTATGTCACGTGCAGAGCTCAGACGTGCACAGAAGCTAACAGGAACTACCCGTTCCCTGGATACATCGACATCAGCTCCCTGGTGGTTCAGGATGACTACATATTCATACAGGTAGGGATCTAACACCACTCACTACCTGCTAGCTGATGGATTATGCTACCTAGACAATATAAACTCTCAGGAAAATATGTCCATTACTAGCTTGGCTATGCTAACTGAGATGTAAGTGTGTATTATCGTAGTATTTAGTTATTTCTAATGAATGACTAATTACGATAGAATGAATAAACAAAGACACAAAACACAAGCTCATCTATATGTAGCTCAGGTGACCCTAACCCTTACCCTATAACGTCATACTTTTTTTGTGTTATACAATTGTTGCACTGAATATGGTCAAACATGTAATAAAACCCATTAAACAAATAATGTTTTTATTTTATTTTAACACCATTGCAAAAGCTAATTTGATTGAAACAGTGATTAGGAAATTAATAAGCAGGGAGATAAAAAATTCCCCATAAAATTTACTAAGTTCAAGCAGTGGTTCTCTCACTTATTCGGTGAGGCCACCTTTAAAAGTACAAGAAAGGTAATTGTCATTGATTACAAACCTTGGGGGTGCAACTGATGGCAATTCCCCAGATTTGTTACTAACTGTAAAGCACTTACTCATCACTGTACCCTGTATGCCAAGGCAGGTCTGCCTTCACTAACTGTACGGAGGCTCAGTCATTGGTACATGTTCATTTACAAAGCCATGTTGGGTAAACTACCTTTTTATATCTGCTCTCTGATCTCTCGACGAATTGAAAGTACATATTGCCTGAGATCTCATGATGATGTTTTATTAAATGTGCCAAGTGCTAGGACTGTCTTAGGGAAGAAAGCTTTTAGTTGTGCAGCTCCACTAAATTGGAACAGTCTGCAAACATGTTTAAAACTGAGCACTTTGGTTCCCCTGCATCATTTTAAAACTCAGCTGGGTGACATGCTGTTTGATACTCATGGTACCTGTCTCTGTAAATAGAGTTTGTAAACTGTACCCTGTACATTATGTTGTATGTCATCCTTATTGTTGTTCTGTTGTTTTTATGTTACATGTGTAACTAATGTCCTGCAGGTCACCCTTGAAAAATAGATCTTTTGATCTCAAGGGGCTTTCACCTGGTTAAATAAAGGCTACAAACAAACAAACAATTCAATTTGAATTCCACTCTGTTATAATGGACCATCTTTCAGCATGGCTATGGGCGGGTTCATTTCCAATTTTACTTAAATGCATCTTTGCCTGATAGGAACGTACTCCGCTATCGATTGTGAAATGTACTGTCGTTCCAAAGAGGAAATGAAATGTGTGCTGTGAAGATAGGTGTACTTACAGTATCATACATACATACAAAAGTTTTCATTTCTGAAAAACAAAATGTCTTCAAACATTAGGACATAATCCTTCAAAATAATCAGATTCAAAAATATATAGGCCCTCCTGAAATGCATTACATTATTGAAAAACAATGTTGGAATTACAATATCAGGCGGAACATTTTATTACATTATTGGTTAAGAAATCCAATAATGGATTTCATACATTTTCAATCATGTTAGGTGCACATTTCATTACATTGTGTTAAAAAAGATCATATCATTAGGCACTCCATTCGGAGGTTGCTGGTTTCTGAAAAATGTCCAATATTCAATTTCAGTTTTCAATTTATTTTGATTTGCTCTGCGAGCTCCTCAGAAACATATAGATTCTTTAAATATCTGAAATTAGTTTATTGCATATTCTCCTCAAATACAAATAGTCACATTCACAAATACAGACAGTGAATATAATGAAATGGCACATGCTGAAGCAAGACAGTTATTCCTGAATAATGTGTAAAATTCCACTTATTTTAAACACTTAGTAGCTCCAATTAACAAAACAAAAAAACATCAAGTGACAAAACGAGGCAGTAAATCAAAATTACAAACAAAAATATATGAATATATATCAGATTGAATAAATAAATAAAAAGACAAACATAAAAGCATTTAGCATTCCAACAATTTCAAAGTGCCTATATACTTGTTAGTAATGTTTGTAAGCGATGCCGCACTTTTTCAAAATGTCCTTTCCTTCCTTTAACCCATACATTTTTCCAAAGGTTAATCCATTGTCTTCCAAGCCAGGGATATCATCCTCCTGGCCTGCAGGAGTCAAACGTCAATTAAAGCTATTTTTGGAGTTATTTCTTGGAATAATAGTGCCACTTGAGAGATTTATTTCACATTCATAATCAAAATATTGCTTAAGCAGATGTATTATTAGACCAATTTGATGCTTCCTAATGATCATTTCCTCACCTTGACTCCCACAAAATCACCTATATATTTCCTATGGTTCTATTAAAATATCTCTCAAGTAAAATATAGCACTTGGCAGAAAATACATATATAAATCTGATTTTACTCGAACCTCAACTGAACATTTGTGCTTTGGTTTTCTGGGAAGCCAGACTACGTTTTTAATATTCATACTAGCCCCTACCTGGTGTGTCAATTTAATCATGATTTGTGCGACAGAACAATCTGAAATGGTAATGTCCTGAATTCTAAGTAACACAGATGCGATTTATGGGTTGCATTTTAATTTCCTCTAAAGCTTGAATATTATTTACTTTGACATTGTGCAAATGAGTGTTCATGAATGTAAAAAGTGAACAGGAAAAGGGAGTATAATGACATGGCTAGTCCACAAAACTTCTTCTCAAATTTACCTCCACAAATTGTCGTTGCGCTCGGTTTTCAGGACCTTTTAGGAATCAAAGTATGCGGCAATGTTTTCTACCTACCTCTTCGCCTCTTAAATGTATCTCTATCCAAAGGAATAAGACCAAAGCACTTTAGACCAGCGCTTGTACATACCTTCAACAATCTTTTAACCAACTTCACTATTCTTACAACCAGCTGCTCAAAACACCACTTTCTTAGAGCGAAAGTTGGATGACCCATGACCTCCATAAACCTTACCTGACACTGTAATAACACACTGAGTGAAACCCATCTTTTATAAAATCCTCCACACACTGATCCCCCCACCTTTCCATGTCCCACCAGCATATAAAAGCCTGTACCCAAAATAATGAAGACATTGTTAATAGAGTGGTGCAGTGATGATATATTTTTGTATGCTGACCCGGAAGTTAGCAAGCGGAAGGATTCCATTGAATGTATAAAATAAGCTTTGGGGGGCAAACACAGGAACATCTCTGCATATATACACCATTTGGTGAAGTAAAAAGCTAACGTTAGGCTAAAATCAATGGGTCAACCATATTATTGTATCCATATTAGGAGCTAAACCCGCTAGTAAGTAAAAAAAACTAGTATAAACTATTTATGTTACACTTCTTATTTAGTGTGATAATAAGTTACTATTTCTTTATTTTTGACAGGTATTTGGTAATCGGTGGATAAAGTAACCCTCTCAAACCTGTTTTTCTCCACTGAGCCGTTGTCCTTGATTATGATAATAATGAGAGAAATTGAAAGAGAGCCAGCATTTTGAAAAAAAAATGTTAAGCCTCAAGTCTAACATCAGCCAGTACAAACACTGTAAAAACTGCATTTAATGTTGGTTTGTGTTATTTAATAAAAAATAATACATTTTAAATAATACATTTTAAATAATACATTAAAACGAATAGATTCTGCTTTTGATTCATATGTCAGTAGTAGCAGTTGTAGTAGTTGTAGTACTCGCAATGGCACTCTTCCAGCTCTTTGATCCCACTAAATGCTTTATTCAGGAGAGAAAAAGCTATTTTTTAGAGGCCTGCTTACCTGAGCCACCTACAGGCATGTGCTTCCTGCACAACTCATACTGGCCTTGGCAGCACATTAGACAAAGAAACAGAGTTGTTCTCCAAAGATCCTTCAATCCTGTTTGACCTCTCCGAAGTATTTAAAGTAGACTCACAATCACTCAACCTAAACCTCCCCTTCAATGCAAGCACCTCCACATTTCAACACGTATGCGTCACAGACGAAGGATCCTGAAGGGATGGGGGAAAAATCAATCATACCAATTCCTCTTAAAGTTCAAACCGCCTCTGGTTACCCCGCCATCGATCTCATGCTCCTGCACTCGATTGCATGTGGGACTGTTCTGCAGTGCTCACCGCTACTCCGCCAATATAGCTTGTTTTCTCTCTTCTGGGTCATTCAGAGAACTTAAAGATCAGTAAAAAGAATCAGCCCTGCCATACAACGTTATTACTGATATATCACTTATTTTCAGCAGCGAGCCACAGGCCTGATTTGAAGGTCTTTCCGAGTATTATTATTATTATTATTGATAGGACTAAAAAGTGTGTTATTCTGCTACAGTCTCACTTTGCACTGTCTTTCTGTGTGTATGAGTATAAAGTGTTGAACTTCCGTGGCCTTGAGGCTAATTCTTCAACAGCCACCAACCCTGTGTTTTTTAGCCGCATCAGCTGTTTGTTAAGGGGCTACCTTTAAGGACAACTTATTTGTTTCTTAGCGTGCAGATGAGGCTTGGTTAGGGAAGTTAAAGATTTCCTTGAAAAACAAATAATGAGACTATTGATTCACCACCCAGATATTTACCAAAGTCCACTTTGAAACCACCAAGCACCTTGACACCTAGAGAGGGTAGCGTCCTCTGAATGTAAGCCGTGAGGTCGCTATGAAAGCCCATAGAAGTTAAAACACAAAAAAAAACGTTCAATCTAGCAGTGTCTTGAAAACCAGCCATAAGAACCCTAACCATAAGAGAGTGGGAGATGGATGTACACTTTGATACAACACGTCATTTGATTGGAGAAAATATGATGACGAGGAAACACATGAGACCTTGATAAAAGGAGTGTTTGCAAAGTGGCTACCACTAAGGAAAACATCTCTTGGTTTGGCAACTTAAAACGTTCTCTCGACAAACATTAATGCGACTGTTGATCTACCTACGAGATGTTTACCAAATGTCACTTGGAAACCACCAAAGCGCATTGACATCAATAATATGAAGTGTCATTTGGATGCAAACTGGGAAATTGCTGTTAATGCCTATACCATTTTAAAACAGCTGTGTTTCCAAGCAGCGTCTTGGAAACACAGCTGGACAAAGTGACAAGGTGATGAATGTATGCTTTGACCCACCACTTTAATTATTTGCAGAAAAATATGACATGGTCTCAATGATTCTGTGACACATGAGTAAAAGGTGTTTGTTCAACACTGATAAAAGAGAAGCAACGTGCATAACACCTGCATGTTTTATTCAATATGAAATACATATTACTTTATGTGTTACAGGTTCCTACATCAGGACGAGCCACATATTATGTGTCCTACAAGAGAGACCTTTTTATACAAATCAAACTCCCCAAATACTCCCTGCCTAAGGTAAGTTGCAGCATTAACCTCACTTGTTTTTTGATTCAGTAACCTCAGTATTCCTATTCCTGAAAGTCATTGATTTAGATCAGGGGTGGGGAACCTCCGGGCCGTATGCAGTCCGCGAGACCATTTGATACGGCCCTCGAGATCATTTATAAACACACGAAGAAAAAAAAAATTAAAGAAATCTAGACCGCAATATAATTAAACACGTGACTAGCTGTTTTTCCTGGCCAACGACAGGTTCCTTGAACACAACACGAGCGTAACGTGTCATCACGTGGTGTAGTGCTGCCGAAACGCCGCTCCAGCACTTCAAAAATTGCAGTACCCGTAAGGAGCCGTACACATCAGCTCCGTGAGGCAAAGGCACACCTTTATATAATCATTATAGTTATAAAAAGAGAATAAATGAAAAACAGGTATAAAATACTATATGACAGTAAACAAAAGTTGTTATTAATAAACAACAATACAATTTAATAGGGGAGTGATTTGTAAAATATCCATAAAGGAAATGTGTTTACAGTTCTGTTTCATATGGGTGTTGAGAGATGATTCAATAGATCTTACTTTTGCTGTCAAAGTGTACCAGATTGATGCTTTTAACTTCAACATTAAAACATTCAATCTGCATGCATGCACGAGTCATAGGGAGTGTCTGCATTTTGGTCCTTATGCCTTTCACACGCTCTCTCCAAAGCATAACATAAACACTTTGAAAATAAAACAGAAAGATATCTGGATTAAGAGGTTGCTTTTTCTTTGCTCAGCATGAAAGGACTAAAAAGAATGGGCTGTGATTTTAGTATTTTTTAGCAGAGGTTGAGGTCAATCATTTGTACGGCCCTCGGAGGATGTTGTAAAAATTGAAATGGCCCTTGAGAGGAAAAAGGTTCCCCACCCCTGCTCTAGATGGCGTCACAGCAGTGACATGTATTTAGAATGTATGGATAGAAAGTAATGAAAACACCATCATTGCAATATACTGTCCAAATACAAACTTTTAAGTTTTGATGGTCTTGTTCTGCTTTCAAGAGTTCGATTGGTATTCAGGATCATTTACAATGCTACAACACCACCATTGAGGAGTTTTCTTCAGCCTCGCCGTGAGATAGATAGATAGCAGAGTTGCAGAAACTCAAGATCTGCACTAAATGCAGATCCGTCCCTCTGAGGCGCACTGCCTTTGCACAATCTGCATTTTCATTTACGGCCATCAAACACTGAAATATTCTTCCAGTTGAACTTAAAACCTGTACTGACTTTAACTCATTCTCTTGTGGTGCACATTTTTTTATATTAAGCAACCAGTCATGCCAACATTAATTACACTGTAATCTGAGTCTTCCAATTTTAAATATTGTAATATTATATTTTAACTGTACTATGTATTATTGTATTGACCTGTACTTAAATCATGTTTTATAATTGCTTGTGTGATAGAGATTATGCAATATTGTTAGTGTTTGTTGATTGTTGTGTACCTACATAAGGACTGCAGATGGAAATGAGCTATTAGACCATAATTGGCATAATTCCTCTCTTCTCTTTTCTGAAATTAATGTATTTGTATACATGGTCCTTAAATACATAATATCTTTTTTTTAAAGATTGTTAAACAACACATATGACCACTTTGTTAGGGTCCTTTTCCCTTTAAAGCTGGCATACTGTGCTTTTAAAGTCATACTTACTGTAGGTCACGGTATCACACTCACAGTGAGCCTCTGGGAGCTTTACAGTACAGTATTTCCACTCTTTATATTCACATCACAACATTGATCTCATGACCAGTCCCCCAGGGTCAGCATGTTCTAATCCGTCACCTCTCCGCTTCCAGTCATAACTCCTCTTAATCTCTCCTGCTGCCTGATAGGATTTACACATTGTCAGCAGTGATGAGAAGCAGGTATTTGCGGCCGTGCAGGAGTGGAACCAGAACGACACCTATAACCTCTACTTGTCCGACACCAGAGGGATCTACTTCACCTTGGCCTTGGAAAATGTCAAGACCACTAGGGGCATCGGTGGGAACCAGATGCTGGATCTGTACGAGGTAGGCACCTTTTGAAACTCTTTATCCTTTAAGGGGAAAAGTGAAGTCTTTCAATGATTGCCGATGGGAAGTTAAAGGGATTATTACGTTCTCGATACTTCTCAAGAACTGCCATAAAGTACAGGCTTCTGCATGGGGCAACACGTAAACAGTGGAGCAAAATGGGGTTTTATGACCATGTGGTTAATGTGCAATACATTCAGCTTTGTATGCACCATTGCACAATATGACCACACAGTCTCCAACAGTAATGGTGCATCGATAGGGTTCTCAATCAATACCAGTGGCCCAACAATCCCTACGCTGCTGCTGAGTTCTCCTGCAGTAAATTACTACCTCACATTTTAAAGGCCCATATGTGTTTAAAATTATAACCAAATAATTGAACACAGGTTTTGTATATTATATCAATCAGAACAGTTATTTTAAACAACTCATCCAATTTGTCATGTCCCTATCAGTTGCCTTAAGGCAGGGGTGTCAAACTCAAATACACAGTGGGCCAAAATATGGGTACTAGTGGAGGGCCGGACTGGTTCAATGTTTATTGCAGAACTTATTGAAATGAACTTATTGCACATATTAAACCTGGAACTAACAAAGCTAAAATGATTGCCAATAAAAACAACATTAACGGTTAAACAATCAGTTGCATTCATTTCTTATGGCTCTATCTGCAGCTTCATTTCTTATGAGTACATTTTTCCACAGGCCAACAACAGCTTCCAAAACACTATTCCCCTCAAAGAACAAACCAAACATGCCCTGTTGTCGGGAGAGAAAAAGTGCAGAAGGAAACAACCATTGAAAGTCAGTGTGCTGCTCTGTGATGCTAGTTCAGATACTTGGCGTCTCATCTTGGGTGCAAGTTCATCAATGTTTGGGCTCAGGCTCTGAGCTGAGGAAATCCTCAGGATGGAGTGAAGGTGTGCCTGCGGGCCAGATCTGATTATAATTAGAAATTATCCTGCGGGCCGAAATTAAATCCACCAAGGGCCTGATTTGGCCCCCGGGCCTTGAGTTTGACACATGTGCCTTAAGGTGTCTTTAAGCAGCGTTGTGAAGTCTGATAGAACAACCACCATACGATGTCACCAGGATTTACAATTAACCAAAGGGCCTGCTACAAACTGTGACCGTGGAATTTGAAATGTGTTTATTTTGCAGAGTCTATAAAAAGTCTGACCAAAGCTAGGATTATATAAGTAAGCATATCCTGGCATCTACTGGCTCTGTTAGACACAGCAAAAATATTCATGAGTTTATGAGTTAGGCATACTGGGCTTTCATTAGTAATAGAACCTTCACACTTCTGCTTTTGCAAGTAACGTGAAATAAAATCACATTTTCTTTCATGCTTTTCGATTTGGTAATACATGTATATACATATATAATACAGATATGTATGTATTTATATATTATTTTTTTATATTATTTTTTTAATATAAATTAAGAATAAATGTTCATATATGAGATGTAATGCTGGCTAAAATGCAACAATGAGCATTTCATTACATGAGCAAGACATTTTCAATACCTTTTTTAGTTTGTTTTTAAATACAAATTGCTGAAATCCTTATTTGTATTTACAGAAATATAGAAGATTATAACACGATCATATCAATACAATAACATACAGAAATGTATGTACAGCCCCACCTAGTGTCAGCAGAAAGTATTAAAATAATGATTACAACAAAATGCAAAAAATAAATTAAAATACATATAAAATATATTTTAAGATCATGTTCAATCATCTGATTCGTCTGTACATTGCTGTTTTAGTCTGTGTTCTTCTAATTAGTGTCTACAGTGTGTGCCTATTGAGCTGCTTAGAGCCATGTGGGACAAAACCCGACCATGCCCCTCCCTCTCACTGTCTAAGTGAACGGTGACTATAAAAACTACACTGCGCATGCTCAGAGTATTGTCCTATTTAATGTGTGTGGCAAAAAATAATGACCATAGGGGCATAGTGCTGCCATCCCCACCATACGTCATCTCACATCATTCAGAGCTGATTGGCTGTAAGTACGTGTGCCGCGAAAAGTGTGGTGTGTGAAGAGCATGGTGAAGAGCAGGTGAAGAGGAGGAGAGAGACACGTCCTAAAACCAGGAAGTAAGCTGCGCATGGCTTCCCTCCACAAAAAAGCAATGAGATTTCTGCATAGGATTTTAGAAACTATCTCAAAATAAGATCTGTGGGAAACGTAGCTGTTAGATAAATGTACGTTTTGTTCAGCCAGATAATATCCACAAGTCTACCCTACTTTTATAATTTTCGAATCATAAATCCATCATTTAGATTTAGACTTTTGAAACTACAAGAACATAAGGAGGACTTTTACAAAAAAGTTATAGAAATTTTTGTCCAGAGGGATAGGCAAATGGACTTAATCTTCAAGTCAAGGTAAGACTGCAATTGTATTGAAAATGGGATTTTACTAAGAGAGAACAATTCAATATTTAAATGATAAAATTAAAATGTTTGGGTATCCTTCTGTCTGTTTTAAAATTCATTTAAGCATCAGACTAAAGAGGCTTTTGAAAATAATATTATATTTTGATTTAGGTCAAAATATAATATTTGTAAACCTGAATAGTCAGTGCCAGTGCCTCACCAGCCATGAACCACACTGCAGAAGCTTATATATAGACATCTAAGTTTTTTGTGCCCCACCACTTTTGTACATATAGAAACGCCACTGCATACATGCACAAGCTGACATTCCTGCCCTCCCCCAATAAACACGTTTTTTTAATTATTTATAACATTTAAAACATTTTTTATTTATTTATTTTTTAAATTATAAATAAACTGTGAACTTTTATGCTACGATGTATGTGATGTCAGATAGTAACTAAAAATCGCAGGCTACGTCAAATAAATCCATGTGTCTGTTGTGATTTGTGATTCGTCCACATTTAGACCAATCACAGCGTCACACTCTGCCGCCTATTCTGGATTTGTTTATTGTGCATTCTGTAGACTCCCATTTCTGTTTGAATTACAAAATGGACATCAGAAATTGGCTTAAAAGGTCTAAGGATTTATTAAAACGAAATAGCGATGAAAGAACTGCAGCTGATGGTGCTGCTGGCGACCCTGCACCTGCCGTTGCAGCAGCACGCCTTAATGTCACAAGCTTGACCTCGGCAAACCCCGGGACTGAGTTAGCGAGCCCAAGCCTTGACTCATCAAGGCAGTCGCCATCAATGCTGTCCTCCGAGGCACAGCTCCTTGTGCCCCTACCATCACCACCTGCGTTACCACACCCTGTACCACACCCGCCATCCTCATCCTCCTCCTCATCCTCCTCCTCCTCCTCTCCTCCTCCTCCTCCTCCTCCTCCTCCTCCTCCTCCTCCTCCTCCTCCTCCTCCTCCTCCTCCTCCTCCTCCTCCTCCTCCTCCTCCTCCTCCTCCGTGCCGGTGCCTCCACTACAGACGCTACCTCGCAGCACATCAACAGGTACTATTGGGCCAGCAACCACTCAAAGACCAACAGCCCCAGATGATCTTGGGGTTAATAAACCCAACCAGGTGAAACTGGATCGTTATCCAGGGAGATTGTTTTCAGGAAAGAAGCGCACTTTAGCCACTGCATGGTACAACAACAGACCATGGCTTGAATATTCGTTAAAAGCAGACGCAGCCTTTTGTTTCCCCTGTAGACAGTTTAAAGTAAATACGTCTTCATCTGATGCGGCTTTTACTGTCAAAGGTTTTTGCGACTGGAAACACGCATTACAGACTGATAAAGGACTGCTAAGGCATGCCGCATCAAAAGAACACATTTCATGTGAGAGTTTGTGGAGAGAGAGAGAGATACGCGAGGAAACACATAAGGAAATGAGTACTTTGGTGCAGATCAGCTGGCACAGAGCCGTTATAACGTGTCAGCTGTCGTTGATATTATAGCTTTTTTAGCTGTCAACCAACTCCCTCTCAGAGGTGACTCGATTCACAAAGCACAAAGATGCAGAGTTGGCCAAAATAATGTTCTAAGTTAGCTCGGCTGAGCGAAAGGATGCACCTGCAGTGCATAGGAAAATAAACCATGCCCAAGGCGGGCTAAACAGTTCATCGTCTCCGTCTCTACTATTTCTCTCCGAGTGCAACGATGAGGAAGCTGCCATCCGTAACCAGTGTGCCTTGCTCGTGATTTACCAGTGTTTGTGCTGCCACGCACACAATGTTTCAAAAGTGGTTGCTATGTTGCCCTTTATTTGTGTATGTATTCGCGATAAGTGTGCGTCTTTATGCAATGCTGTTGGCCTTGCTGTTTGATATATATATTGTGCCGCATGCCCGCAGCACGTGACGGTTTTGTGTGCCCTCCCATGAACATCACATGCCCTCCCTTTAGATTCGTTCTGGCGCCGGGTCTGGATCAGTGGAGACAGGTAGAGAGGCTGAAGGGATGAAGGGAGGGAGAGATTAAGGGATCAAGGGATGGAGCGGTCGATGTGTTGAGGGGTGAACAGATGTTGGCGGGGATGCAAGAATGAGGGAAGAGAGAGATATTGGTAAGGAGAAGGGGATGAAGGGGTCAGTGGCTGGAGGGGTGAAGGGATCTTGGTGAAGAAATGAGAGGGGTGTTGGTGAGGATAAGGAGAGTGAGGGATGAAGGAGTCAGTAGATGGAGAGGTAAAGGGATGAGGGGTGGGGTGAAGGGATGTGGGGACGATGAGCTAGAGTTGATTTGTTTGTGTTGTTTTCTTCACATACAGTGTTACAGTTGCTTATCTTACATGGATGGGTTTGCATTGCAGGCAGTTGTCGTCCATCTTCCTGACGGCAGACATATGCGGTATAAAGAGCATGCTTAATGGGGCTCAATGCCATGCACCTGTGGACTTGTAATGACCTTGTTAGCTTACTGGCTAGCTACTGTATGTGTTTGCATTAGTATTCATGGCAGGAAAGTAGATTTCCCTTCCTTCTCCACTGCCTGGTGGACCCAGTTTATCACTCCTACACTGGCAGGTGACGCTGTGA